TCTTTCTTTTTTTTTTTTTTTTTTCCTTTCTTTGTTCAAATGTGCCATTTATTTATCTAACCAATACTCTCCTTCTTGCATTAATTGTTATTGTGTGGCTCAATTCAGTATACTTTTTTTTTATTATTTTTTTTATTGCCTTGAATGAAGACTTCAATTTTTGAGTGTGATTTATATGGATTTTTTGATTAAGTGCAATTTTCTAAGGATTGGAATTACATGTGTGCTAGGAAGTAGCTTTTTGTATGTTGTTAAAAAGTTATTGTTTGGAAGGTGTGTTGTGACAAGGTGAGTCTAATTGACATGTCATTTTTGAATCTAGATGCAAATGTAATTCTTGCATATTGTGTGGAATTTTCAAGTGATATTCTTTTGATATGGGACCCTCTTGTGGTGTTCAGTAGAGTGGTTTGGATTGGATTCTCACCTAGTTTTGTTATATGTTTGTCTTAGATTTTTGTTATTGTCCTGGATTAGTGATATGTGTCTGTTTAATTATGACTACGTATTCGTGAAGTGGACAGTTTGATTGTGTGTTTGGTTGTAGGTTACCATATCTTTGTAAATAGCAATGTGGATGGAAGTTTGATGTATGTTGTGAGCTTTCCGAAGCTTGAATCTTAAATGGGTATCTTTTCTCACCTTACCAATGCAAAATTTAGTGCAACTCAATCACAACATTAGACTCCTTGAGTTGTCTCTTCAGGATTCTTTACAAACCGGATGAGCAACCACCACTGTACCAACTCCCAGAGCTTGCCACTCCTGATTTAACGAGAAAAGCCTCGTCACTGTCGCCACTCACACACGCACTCCAGTGATATCACTCACGCCTCTGGATCCAACATATTGTAAAAACTTCACCAAGAGCTTATGCAGAATAAAAATGTTTTGAACTTCTGCACAGCTCTATTGTCAGCATTCGCCTCTACCCCAATTGGAGCAAAATATACATCCTACTAGAAATGAAGCAGCACCTTCTGTTTCTTTTCTCAACCCCAAAGTGTGTGAGGAGGAAATCAAGGTTCAAAGTAATGAACCCGTAATTTACTCCAAGTTTGAAAGTGACGGCAATCACCAAGTTGTTACTGTAAAGGTCTGTGTTTAATCTGTGTTTTGAATCGACCTTTCTTCACACATACAATGAAATCTCGACATGGTTCTGAATGCTTTTCTTTGGTGTCAAATTGAAGTTTTCGCTTGGAACGTCCTTTCATGGAACTGGTGAAGTCGGTGGACTTGTTGAGCGCACTGGGAAGCAGGTAAGCCTTTGCTCATTGACAGCATCTACGTTGTGAAGTCACATATTGCAACATTATGTTGCCTCAAATCATCCTATTGTTTCTGTGGCAATTCTACTGCTGTCCCCATTTCGTTATGTAATAATCGAAGTGCAATGTGTATGCGCTGTTGTTCTCTGCAGATTTGTTCTTGGAATACCGATGCATGGGGCTCCAATCAGAACACCACTTCATTGTATCAATCACATCCGGGGGTCTTTGTAGTACTTCTAATTGGGGACGCTTTCGGAGTATTGTCTAACACATCAAGGCGGTGTGAATTGAGCTTTGCAGCTAATCTGTGTTTTGCTACAACTCTCAACTAAGACTCATAGAGTTGGGAACATGAACTAGTTGGAATGAGGGGGGTTGAGATGAGAGTTAAGAATGGAGGGAACAAGAGGGGTTGGGATGAGGAAGGCTATAAAAAGAGGGAGAGGGGGGCTGGAAACGAGGAAGGCGGGATGAAAGCTATGATTGTAATGACTGTTTTTGGAGATGATCCATTCTCCTAATGATAGTTATAATAGGGTGGATTGATTTAGTAAATGGGTGGATCATTTTAACATTCCTCTAAAAGTAATCTCATAAATATAAGATTTTGTTAAAGGAGAACAAAAGCAAAATTATGAAACTAAAATAATTACATGTTTATTTATAATATTTTGATTTATTTTTGTATAAACATATCATGTTCCTACTATTTAATTTTTTTTCTTCTAAGTGGTATAAATATTTATAAATATACTAAAATAAATAATTTTTAGAACATTCGGAATCTATTTTTTAAGATAGAAAATATAATAAATTATTTATTTGATATTCATGATAAAACTAAACTTTAAATTTTATTAAACATATATTTAAAAAGAAAGGTTTCTTTCAATTCACACTTTATAAAAAAATAATATTTTTTGCAAGTTGATGTTAAAAATGTAAGTAAAGTTATGATTGCATTAAAGATACAAGTATCTTATTGCTGATGCTTGTACATTGAATTATAGAACTTGAAGTTATTATTTCTGAATCAAATGTGATAATATGTTTTGGTTCACATGAATAATGGAATAAAAAAATACAAGGTAACAAAAAAATATTAAAAGATAAATCAATAAATAAAAATTATGTTATAATCATAGATGTTTAAAAATTATATATATATATATATAATTTTTAAATTTATTAAATTTAATCAAATTTTATTGATTATATATTAAAAAACATATTTGAAATACAAATTAGAATTTCATTTCATTTAAAGAATGAAACTAGTGTATTTAAAAATACCAAAATATTAAACTTTATTATAAATAATTTAATATAATAATATGAAAATTACTATTTTTAATAAAATTTAAAATAAAAACCTTATTATCATATGTTATACATTGAGAAAAACTTAAAATGTTTATGGATGAGTTATTTTTAAACTGTGCACATTGTTTATAGAAAAGTGAAGTAATATTTATCTCATTTTTTATAAAATTCTTTGTATGATTAAATTTAAATAGTATATTTAATATAAGAATTTTGAATTATATAGTATTAATCAGATAATTTTAAATAATATAATATTTAATGTATATATATAATTTAAAATAAGATATCAGATAATTTTAAATAATATATTATAATAATTATTTTAAAAATTCTTTATTTATATATTATCAAAAATACTTAATACATTATTAATTTTTATTATTGATTTTAAATCATTTATATTTTTGAAGTCAACATACCATACTTGTAGGTAAGACATAAAGTATAGATTATTTTAGATTTTTAGATTTTTTTAAAGATATAAAAGTGTTATTATTTCTTAATTCATATATACTTGGCAAGATTGTAATTTCTCATTTAGGATTTGAATCACTAATTTTCTTAATACCAACTTACTATTTGTAGATAATTGAAGGTCATAGTTATTTTTTAAACCATTAAATATTAGAATACATGAATTTAACATATTTCTTTGTTACAAAAAGAAATAAATACAAAAGAATTTTTTAAAAAATAAGTTACTTGCTTAAAAATAATTAAAATGTTTAAATCAATGTCAACAAAGATAACATATTTTTAATATTACTTAAGTAAAATCATACGCAAGTATATATATATATATATATATATATATATATTTACATACTTCTATTTTAATTAAATCACTCACATCTAACTTCACTTGAATATTTTAAAAATTAAAAATACTTATAGAAGATTATTATGATTTGTAAAATTCTAATAAAACCATTGTGTATCCAAAATGACCTTAAACTACCAAAAAATAACAAATTAGGGAAACTTATTATGTAGAAGACAAGGCAAGAGACTAAAATTGCAAAAAATAGTTATATAAAAAAATTAAATTTAAAAAAATACTTCTTGTAATTGTTTTCATTAAGAAATGAATTCATATATTTAAACTTGAATTAAAAATGATCTAATGTATTTCATGCCTTCTTCTTTAAATTACATCTAAAAGCAAAGGTTTCCAAAAAAGGATTTTTCTTCACCAATCAAAAAAACTTGGTAAGAATTTTGAACAATCTCCAACAACCAAATTTTAAAACAACATCAAAAAATTAATGATTCAAACTCTAACATACTAGACAAAACTTTGTACAAGATTCACCCCTACTAGCTTGTGAAAACAAATGAAACAAACCACCTACCCTAACTTATATCTATCGACCACATAAGAGATGCGAGACAAAAATTAAATTCAAAAGAATAGCAGTGTCAGAAGAATTTACTAGCAACCACGTGGTGTGGAATCGTCGTTGCGAGGAGATAAGCTTCGGAATCAGCTTTCTCCGAAGGCCGAGACCATGAGGATAATTGTGGGAAATTGTAAGTTTATTAGATTGTGTGTGTGTCAAAGTCAGTAGGATATTCTTCGATGAATAGCATTCCAGATTTTATTTTGGCTATTTTTACTGACATGAGTATCAAACAGAACTTACTGAGTGGAAGTCACTTGAAGGGCTCTTGTGTTGTTTAACTTTATCTCTTCAACTTTTTGTGCATACTAGGTTCATACATTCGTAATTAGGGCTTAAGGTGCAATGGTGGCGAAGTGCAGTGATGCATAAATGGGGATGCTCTTCCCATCTTCCTTTTACGGGCTAAACATAGAGGTACCTTACTATGTGCCAGCAGATGATCCCCACTTGTAGTGTGCGTGGCATCAGCATTGTTCCATCACAGTTAGGATTTGAAACAGTCGCATCTCAAGTGAATTTTAGGATTCGGATCACATTTCAAGCTTTTGGAGTAAGAGTTGGTTCTCGTTTCCAAAAAATAAAAAAAAAACACGTGTTACCATTTTCATTTATAAGAAATGATAACGACTTATTCTCCGAAACTGAGATTTCACTCTCTCGGTTCAGGTAGAATCTGGTGGGCACTTGTTTTGAAACTGTTTTTGTTGATTCAGGTATGTTGACATAATCTCGGTAAAGGATGCCTTTGAATTACATCGAATATAGAAGCAATACGATGAAATATCCGGCGACTCTAGGGATGGTTGCAGACAGAATTTGAGAAGGACCTTTGGAGGATATAATATCATGTATTTTTGGATCGTGAAGTTTTTCCATTCCAAACGAAAAAGCAAATCCCGATGTGCAGTAAGTTTTCCGACATTTAGATCTTTTATTTAGAAGCTTCTCCTTTGACTTCGTGTGTAGGTCAAGTGACCTTCCCTTGGATTGCTAGACCGTGTGATTACCTGCACTGGACTGGTTGTGTGTTTCCCAGTGCTGAGTCCGCTTTCTTTCAAAAGGCTCTGCTTACCATCTACAGTTCACTTGCAACTCTTGCATATCATCTGCGACGTTGTCTGCAACTTTCCCAGGTCATCAAATTCACGTCGTTGAACGAAACGAGTTGCCATTAGATGAGCAGGCGTTGCAGCACTGCATTAGGTTTCGTATCGGACTCGCAACAGATTAGGTGGAACCAGATCGAGATTCGAGGATTACTGAAGCTGCTGCTGCTGTGGTTCAGTGATACTGCAAGAGTACTTGCGATCAGTTGGTACTTTGTGGAGAAGTGCTCCTGTTCTTTCGTGGCGATGGATCCAGCGCCGTGTTTGGCTTTGCACCTGGAGTAGTCGCTCGCTTCGAAGTCCTTCACCACCCTGAAGTCGGTGTGTCGGTAAGTTACACGCCTCTTTCAAGTGAAGGATCGTTTTGGTAGGTGTTGCTCTTGAATAGAGTCAATAGTTTATATTGGGAATCCTTGTTCAACAGTTGTAGAAATGGTTTTTTCAAATCCTCGCTCGAGAACAACAACGTTGCAGCAATTCGTGTGATACTCTTCAGTGTTGGAATCCTATGTTACCACCTTAGCGTTACTATCGGTAATTTGGAGTGACCATTTGAGCTCTTGGAACCATAACCCCAAAGTTCTGATTTTGAGATTCTGATGAAATCTGGACTGTTTCTAAACATTAGAAATGTTGCCGAGGTTATCAGACATCAATTTTAGAATTCTACAACTTTCAAGGATGCCGTTAAATCCAAGACGTATGGTGGTGGTGGGACTCGACTTCGGCACCACATACTCCGGATTCTCCTTTGCACTTATCTCGGAGCCATACAAAATTAATTCCTTTTTCGAGTATCCAAACTCATCAAACCTCTATCCCAAAACTCCAACAGTGAGTTACTACAAGAAGGTACCCGGTCATGAAGATCAGTGGAGGTTAAATTCTTGGGGTTTCACTGCCCGCTCTGAGTACACTAGAGACATGGCCAAGTTAACTAAAGAACAACGCAGACGGAAACATTCTGGCGCACAAAATGACAATGCTCCACTACCGGAAGTTGGCAGATACATCACGAAGTTCAAACTCTACCTGGCAAATGAAAGAATGGCAAGAGTACCCCTACCGTCGCTTCCTGCAGGGCTTACAAATGAGAGGGTCATCACGGATTATTTGCGGGAAATGGGAGCTTTAATCCTCAAAACCTTACGGGGGCAGTACAGAAATTTAGACCTGACCAATGATCTGATTCAGTGGTGCATAACGGTTCCATCAATTTGGGATAATGTTGCGAAATCGGTGATGAAGGATTGCATGGTGAGGGCGGGCTTGGTGAGCGGGACCGACGATAGTCACCTTAGCATCGTGTTGGAGCCAGAAGCAGCCTTCTTTCACTGTTACCAGCATTTACACGAAAGCGCCATCACTGTTAATGATAAGATCCTGATTGCCGACATCGGTGGCGGGACTTCCGACATTGTTGTAGAGCAGGTCGTTGCCATTGGTCAGAGTAGCTATCAAGTGAAAGAAGTGACATTCAGCTCTGGAGGTTTGTGCGGCAGCATTTACGTTGACCAATCTTTTATTAAGTTTATGATACAATCAATTCCATGTCTGGATGGGGCCCTGGATCAGCAGCCGTCTCTTTATGCCTCATTACTCAAAGAATGGGACGAAGCGAAGGCCAGCTTCGGTGATCTAACTAGGAGTAATCGCTCCACCGACATATCACTTCATTACGAATTGTTGAATATGATGAAACCGTACGCGAGTATGGACAACGATGTTGCAAGGGCGTTGAATGATGGCTTATATGAGATTAGGTACGATCAGATGAAATCCATTTTCGATCCTATAATCAATCAGAACTTAACTCTCATTTCCGATAAATTGAGAGAAGTGCAAGGCGTTACTGTCATCGCCGTTGTCGGCGGATTGGCTAAGTCAGAGTATCTCATCCAGTGCATCAAACGGCGATTCTCCAGTGAAGTGAGGCACATCATTGTACCCGGGAATCCCGTGAGCGCGATATCCTTGGGTGCCGTAATGTCGGCGCTCAATCCTGACACTATCATCTCCAGAGTGAGCAAGAAGACTTATGGGGTCGAGTGTGTGGAGGAATTCAAATATGGGGTCGATCGAGAGGACCACCTCCAGGTCATCAATAATTTAAGGCGATGCAGAAATCGGTTTCATATCTATGTTAGAAAGGGTGATGTGGTGAACGTCGATCAGTGCATCAGCAAGACCTATTATCCAGCTAGAAGTGGACAGACGACTATGGATGTAACACTTTTCAGTTCGGAGAACACGAATCCGAGGTACACCGATGAGCCCGGGGTGAAAATGGAGGGCAGTTTTACGATCGATATCTCGGGGGACATGACATTGGATGAAAAGCGAATAGTTAAGGAGTCGTTATACTTCGGAAGGTCGTCGCTTGAGCTAGTTGCCGAGCCTGTGAACTTCTTCCTTGGCAGTCAAGGGCCTAACCAGTTGCATCTCCCGATTGCAGAAGGTTTCGTGTGATCATCACCCATTCCGATCATGCTGCATTGTACCATACATGCTAGTCTAGGTCACTAGAATCTCTGCTGGTACCACAGCAAAGCTACCCGGCTGGTTCATATCTTAGAAAATAATCTTCATAGTGAATTTGAATTCTCTGGTCGAAAGCTTCACAGTTACAACTCTCTTTTCCCTCTTTGTAAGCTTGAGACTTCACCTGCAGGTGATCCGTATCATTGTGCCAGGGAGTGTACTAGAAACCTCGCAATTCTCTTGGGCTTGTTTCTAAGAGTTGCCAGAGCGTCGGTAGTCATTCGCGTGTGCCATCTACTCATCCACAACGCGTAAGAAATTTTGAAATTTTAGCACCACTCTCGTCACAGTCGACGTCTGACATGGTTTCAGAATTCAGGGTTTTCAATGCAGTCTTTGAATATATTGTGCATCCAAGATCTCCAAATGACATCACATGATGCTCTTGACTGTGACAAATGAGGGCTTGTAAAGAAAAATGAGTTCATTTAAAGAGGAATACTCTAAAATTCAAACTGAAAATGCCTGACTCGTGCAAACACAACGCTTGAAAACTGAAGATGGTATCAACTCCATATTTAGAATTGATAACGACGTTGCACGTTACCATATGTGTGACTATTCAGATGGAGAATATTTAGCAAATCCGCCTTTTTTTACACAATCACATATGCTCGCCAACTGTTTATTTCAAAAGTGCGAATGGTAATACAATCAATGAAAATCTGATTAAAATCGGAACACTATCATCACCTAAACATACACAGACTTCAACCAGTGTTATATGCTTTTGAAAGGAGCAAACGAAGGTGAATGGATACTAGCATAGGGGAAGAGATACACTATACCAATAAGTCAAAACGACAATCATTCCGTTGAATAGCGATGACAACTGCACACCTGCACTGCTGAAAAAGGCATTACACCACGAACACGTTCAAAAGCCTCTCGCCAGTTGGAGCACGATACTGCTTCTGTTGACATCTCCCACCGCTTACGCCGTGAGATCTGACGTCCAACTTAATCGGTAGGAGCCAGAAAAATTGAGTCCGTGCACGTCATCAAATGATGCTCAAGTGTATAAATAACATGTGTTTTGCCTCGGTATCTGACGTTATAATTAATTGGTAGCTGTTTACACGGAGATCCATTGTCTGCTCGGGTCGGAATCTAGAAAAGCGGCACAGTTCTCCGAAGGGACCAGGTGGTAGGGCATGGATGGGGCTCTTTGATGCCGCATAATCAAGGAATTTCGGTGTTTCTAAGTTTATTGTGGCTTTGTTTGATAAGTAAGTTGTTCTTTTGCATTAGCAGAACAACCCTAGGCTCGTATACTTGTATGAATACCATCGTAATGTAACTGGTGTAGCATGTCAGTTTTGCTTACAAATCCACCTAGAGATGGAGTTTGGGCCATCTTTACGTGTGAGAATTTGTTCAATTAGCGCTCCAGGGTGCTTGATTTGCAACTGCGACTGATGTGCTGAATTCCGTGGTGCTCGGGGGACTTCCACAGGTTAGACCAAGTTGCTGATCCTCTCGGTTTTTTTAGTCATTCTCAAAGCATAGCTGTGCCTGGAGGTCAGATCCAACAGCGATCACCAGCTACTTACAACAAGCTAAATCTGTTCCTGAACTTGTTTCGCTGAAAAACAGTTTCAAATTGCCATTTACTTCTCATACAACCGGTTGTGCTGATTCTGACTAGTTGTTTGGCCTTGTGTAGTGATTCGTGAGTTTCATTTTCTGTCAGTTCAAGCTCATTTGATTCTTATAGTATTGTGTTTGGGAAGAGGGTTTCTTCTAAGATATTATCTTCCTCCTTCTCAGGTCGTGCTTTCTGAATAGTTAGAAAGCTGTGCTCGCTTAAAATCCATTAGCTGGTGCGTAACTTCGATTTGCTTCTTTCCTATTCAAAGTATTGAATCACTAACATGGTTTATGTCGCAAATTTGTCAGAGTCATCTCGGATTGACGTGACTACATGGATCAGAGTAGTAGTGACGAAGAGGCAGAACCGAATGTTGTAGTAGTTCCAACCCATGGAGGTCAGTATGTCAAGTTTACCAAGGAAGGATTTGATTTTGAAGTCTCCAGTAGATACACACCACCAATTCAACTGCTCGGATGTGGAGCTTGTGGTCCCGTGTGGTGAGAAATTCTTCCTTAGGAAAATTCTTCTTAAGATTCCTCGTCTTTCTGAAACCAGTAAGTGGTTCGTGATGCTCATTACAGTGGAGAAAAAAACATTTTTCTGTTTTTTTTGCTTGTGCAGCTCAATGATTGATTCAATAACGGGTGAGAAGGTAGCAGTCAAAAAGTTTGTGAATGGCGTCAACGACCCAGATTACGCGAAGCGGACCATTCGTGAAATTAAACTTCTCAGGCTTATGAATCACGAGAACGTACTAATCAGAAAGATGAAACTGAACATTCTGAATGTAATATGTGCAGTGACGTGGGAGGATAATGCAATCTTTTAGTTCTCTCATACGTGTTTTTGGTGGGAGCATGACTGCAGCATGGGGCTGTAAACATTTTGCTGTATGTGCTGGTCATCTAGAATTGTTCAGTGTCCATAAGAATCCGCACGATCGATAATCCGAATAGATTTCTCTGTTCTGCAAAAGCCCAAGCACGAATGACTAGAGTAAGCATAACTTGAGGTCTGAGTTATCGATCATGGATATGTCTGTATTTGCTACCATGAACCAGTGGCCACAAGTTGAATTGTTCCAGTCAATGCAGAGTTAGACTGGAAATAGAAGATTAAAAGTATTCCTTGTAGTCTTTTTAGATTGTAAAAAGATCTCCAGATTCCCCGTCTAACGCATGGGAATGTTTTTAACACGTATAACCTGGATGCAGTATATCCTAAGTCGAATTTTGCGGGGGTTGAAATACATTCATTCAGAGAAGGTCTTTCACCGGGGTTCGAAACCTGCCAATATTTTGGTCAATTTCGATTGATCACTGAAAATTGCAGATTCTGGCTTGGCACGCATATGCACTGAAGCAGAATCTTTGATGGAGTATGTTGTAACAAGATGGTACAGAGCACCAGAGTTACTTTTTATTTGCCCGACATATGATACTGCAGTTGATGTGTGGTCCGTGGGATGTATCCTACTAGAGTTATACCTCGGAGCTCCATTATTACAGGGCAGTGACTACGTAAACCAGATCCTCCTCATCATAGAAGTACACCTTGTTACCCAATTTGGCATGTGGTTGTGCTGTTTCTGACCCTTCTGTCTGGGCGGAAAAGAGGTAACTTAGGAATGAATCCTTTAAGCATCACTTTACGAATGTACATCTGATACTGTGTTGATTGTTCTGATGAAACTCTCATGGGACATATTGACCTCTGAAATTAAAAAATGACCTGGTAGTGAAACCCACTGCATCTGCACTGCATCTGCAAGCCTATCTTATCAGCTGCATTGACTTTCAGTAAGAGGGGATTAGTTCAAAAAGTAGCATTCCTAAGTCACAAACAACCCTGGCACATCTGCCTTACTGATCTATTTCTCAACTGCTGTTGAGGTTGTCATGTTCGATGGTAACTGAACTTGTAATGTTACTCCACTAACTTACAACCCGTCTCTTGGCCTCTGAGTTGTCTTCTTTATGAATGGCAGCTCGTCGGGACTCCCGAGGACGAGGACCTCCACTTTCTGAGAGACTTGAACAGCAGGCGATATGTGAAGGAATGTTTGACTCGAAAACCACACGTTCCTTTCACCGAGAAATTCAAAGACATCAACCCGACCGCTCTCGATCTTGCCGAAAAGATGATAGTCTTCAACCCAGCCAAAAGAATCTCAGGTATCATTCCGGCGATGTAACTTCTGAACTAGAGAGTTGAGTTTACCCCATTCTGATGACTGGCATTGTTTGTGCCATTGAACATTGATTCCTGAATCAGTTTCCTACAACACACCAGCTTGACTGCAACTCTATAGCATATGCAGCGCCTCCGATGTGGATCACTGCTAGTTGCGGTGCACCTCTAGTGTATGTTTTTCTCACCACAAGAGTCCCATGCCATATTCCTGGTTTCTGAGTTGGATTCCTGATTGTTTTTTGTGCCTATTTGGCTTCTCATCGTGGCCAAGATGAAGAACCCAATTGTGGAGCAATCTTCGAATTTGAATCCGACATTTCCTCCGTTTCAGTGGACTATGTGAAGGATTGCATATGGACGGAATCGGCGAAGATGAACTCAAATATTGATGTTAAGAGGCAATAGCTTCACCCCATCCCATCCCATCTTTGGCTAATCTTCATTACCTAGTGACCGATCTTACAGCTTGTTATGAAGGCCATGTTTTGATTATATAGTGTAACGCATGTACTAAAACTTTCTGTTGCAGTAAAAGTGAATAAAACAGTAGAAACAGATTTCATGAAACTAAAAATTTATGGTACGAATGGTTTTTGTTTTATTTGGTGTTTTTTTTTTCATTACTTAATATTTAGAAATGCTTTTGGAATTTTGTGAGTGGTGCTGTTGTGGATTCACAAAGGTTGGACCGCAATATTCCTTGGAGCAAAGACTAAGGGCAAATAAAATATGCATGTGTGGATATATCTATGTATAATGTGGATTTCTTCATTAAGTTTTTTGGAGATGTTTAAAGCCTTTCATAAAAATAAATCTATATATATATATATAAATTGTTCTCTAAGTTCAAATTCTTTCTAATTGTTTTAGTCTATATTAATCAAGGTGGTGCAATTCTTTTTAAGAAAATAGTTTTTAATTACATCATGACTTTATATATTAATCGTATATTTTTTCATATTTTTTTCAACCAATAAAAAATAAAACACAATCTCTTCCTAATTATTAAAAAATAACAATGTTGATGTATTTTTTATTAATCTTAATAATAAACTTATTAAACCTTTTCATATAATATTTTTATATTTTATTTGCCTTATTGATAGTATTTTTTCTATCTATCAATTGAATTCAATACAAACTGTAATATCAACACTCTTAGCTGTTGATATACAAATGTAATACAAATTTTAATAGCAAAAATTTCCGAGTCTTTATCATATCAACTTAATAAAAAAATTTAAAAAAATTAAAAATTAATTTCTTTGAATATAATCTTAAAGAGTTTTATATGCACTCATTAGATGAATTATATTTTAATACTATTTTTGTCAAAAATTTTAAGAAAATTTTTGATACACTAAGTAATCATTAATAAATTTATAAAAATATTTACAATATAAAAAAATGCGTTTTTAAGTTCTTCATTTTATGTTAAGAAGAAAGACACATTAGCTTATCTCAAAAATAAGAAGAGAATAACCATTAAATTTATTTTTTCTATTTATAGAAAATTTATTTTAAAAATCATAAAACAAACATCTAAAAAGTCCAAGAGCCTCTAATTAGTAGTACTTTTTTTTATAGAAATATAATAAAAAAATATAAAATAAGAAATATTACATGTCAAAAAATTTAAATAAAATATAAATTAAAAAATAATTATAATGAAAAAAAAATATTTTTTAAAGAGTTTATTTTAAAATATAAAGCAACTACAAACTAAACATGATTGTTTGTTTATTACTTAATATATATCAAAATTTATTAAGAGCTACCTATTTAAAATAGATTCAAATTAATATAATTTTTTCATCAATACACTAAAACCTATTTTAGAATTGCTTTAATATTTCATATCAGTTATAAAACTTTTATTACTGCATCTAGTATAAAGATTTTTTGATCATAGATACTAGATTCAGTTTAAATTCAGTTTTAATTCTAAGAGATTTAGAGAAAATAGAATAATTATAAATATATATAAAAATATTAAATACAATACTCATTCTAATTTTTTTTAATTTTAAAAGTTTTATTTTTTATTTTTTTAATTTTTATTTTATTACTCTATGAAAATTATAATATTTTGATTTGATTTTAGCTTATAAAATTTTAATTTAAAATACTTAAATATATAATTATAATAATTATTTTAAATTTTTTAATAAGAATTAAATTTTAATATATGTTTTAATAGATTTAACATTATTTTTAAGAAAATAAAGATTTTGAATATTTTAAGATAGAAAGGTGGATTGCAACTAAGACATATTAATGCACAATAAGATCTAATTTGGATGCAATTTTGTAGCTAGACTAGAATTTTTTTAATTAAAATAAAATAATATATATATATTTAAAATTTCGCATATATATATATATATATATATATATATATATATATATTCAAAAATAATTTAGTAGTATTTTTTTTTTGTAGGATTTTTTGATTATTAAAATTTTCTTTTACTTTCAAAAAAAATTTAGTAGTATTTTTAGAACAAGATATTAAAAATTTGATTTACTTTTATTTCTACTTATTTCTACTTATCTAAATAAATGTACTAATGATAATAATTGTTGGTGACATTATTTCCATTTCTAGGCAACAAATTCTATGTAGAGTTGTAAAATTATTTCATAAATTGATAAAATCCAAGATCTATTAAATGGTATTGGCAACAAACTTTGATCTTTATTTTGCACAAAGGTGGTTAATAGGTTTCATGAACCATAAATAATAATCTATACCAAGGCAAGAAGATTATTCAACTATTTGATCATTACTACGGCTTTTATAAATACATTCAAATAATACATTTTTTATTTTATTACATATAATTTACATCTCTAATAGTATCACTAAGCATCAAGAGTCTATTTTAAGTTCATAGTACCAAACACTCTATATCTTACCATTTTTTTAAGAATTAACATATATCTCTAGAAAATCTTCATTACAATTATAATATTTTCTACTTTGAAACAATCAAAATGCTTCATCTTATAATTTTGTAAATAATAATTCTTGAAAGAATATGTTAGTTATTAATTTTCTATATTTATAAAAAGTTCTATAAGTTGATCCTTGAACTTGATTTTTTTAGATTTATACTAATTCATTGTCAATGTTTAGTCTTTAGTTTTTTTAGATGTTGATGAAAAGTATAGAGAAGTTTTGACATATTTATTAGCTTTTCACATAGTTTTCATATACATTCACAAATATTATTTGTACGCCAATGTACAAGATATTCCAATTTATTTTAGCACTATCTTAAATCTAAGACTTCTTCAATTTTAAATTCTTGATTGTTGTTGGCTTCTCTTGCTAAAGGTAGCAATTGTCTTCTTTTTGATATATTTATCTTCTTGTATGATTCAAAAAAAAGATACATAAAAAATATAATAAATCTTCATTGACTCTAGTAGATGTAACTAATACGCAATTAAATTGATCTATTTATTAATAGAATATAATCAAAATTTATAATATTCCAACTTATAATATATAAGAGCAATCAATTTTAATATTATAACAAAGTAACTACAACTTATCACTAACATAGAATTGAAGTTGTTCCTTCCAATATACATCTATTTTAATATTTTTTCTTCCTTAAGCTTTATTTAATTATATCTTCATTGTTGTATGTAGCTCAATAAATTAATTTCTTAAATTTTTTATTAAAATATTTTTAACATTTGAAAACTAAAAAATATCAATTAATGATAAAAAATCATAGTTAATATAGAATAGTGATTGTTGAGTAGAAGAATATAATGTAATATTATATAGAAAAGTTATTAATAATAAAATAGTTATTTAATATTTTTGATGGTAGTTGATAGTACATTAGAAGTACTAGATTTACTTACTTTTTGTCTATTAATTTAAGAATGGAAGGCCAATAATAGTTATATATCTACCTTCAATATTTTGAAAAAAAACAAATCTAAGATTAAGTTAAAAATTAAGTTCTTTTGCCTTATAAAATATCTATTGGCAATTCATGATAATAATATATGTTATCAAAAAATAACCTAGTTGTTTTTTTATTTGAAATAGTTGTAACACATAATACAAAATATACCATCTTAGTCAAGTAATTTACTATCACAAATATAAAATCATAAAAGCTTCAATTAGAAGATCTATAATAATATTATTATTAGATACAAATGACCATAGAGCAATGCTAGTTTTCACATCTAAGAAGCAAATTTATGTTACATAAATAATTGTGATGGTAAGGGAACTAGAAGTGTTTCTATACATATTTCTTTAAAAACTTAATACCTAATTAATAATGAGTGTGCTCTTATGCATAATAAAGAATTATGCATCATTTTCTTTGGTATCTCTAGAAAATCCATTATGGTAGTGAATATCTATGATTTTAATAAAAGACAAGAAAGTTTTTAATTTTGTAAAGATCTAATATTCTATTCATCTTTGGTAGAGATTGATATATGGAATAAAAGACAAGAGATAGATTATTATTTTGTAGTCAATTATTATCTAAAGATGAGAAGAATTATTAGAATTATCTGAAATCTTGTCTTTTTTTAATGAATTCTTTTAAACAATAAAATATATTAAATTATTCATGTAACAATAAAAAAGAGGAGTGGGCATCTTGAAAAGGCTAAATACATTCTACTAAAGCTTCTTATTTTTCTAAATAAACCAAATCCAAAAATAACATATAAAAGGAAATAGTGCATTATCAAATCATCTTCTGATCAAGTTTATACTATAACTTTAAAAAACTAAATCTAAATCATCTATTTTTAAAATGAATATTTTTTTTTATTAAAGTAATCTTCAAGTTCTTCAAAGTTTTGGTCTAATTATAATACAAGAAGCTCTTTTCTTTATTGCATGCAAATTTTTGTACGTTTTTATATGCTGTTTTATTAAGGCCTTCTATATTCCAAATATAAAAAAATCATCATAAATCCATTACTAAAAAACTTCAAATTTTTCAAGGTGTGCTACAGAAAGATCCTCTAGATTATTTTATTTTTTAAAATATCGATTCTAATCTTTACAAAAAGTCTACAAGATCTAAAGAATCTGAGGTAGCCAAAATTAGCATATCTAAGAATATTCTAAATAAGGTCACAATAAATATTTACAAGGGACTATCTAATTCATATAGTATATATAAATTTAAAGAAGTTATTAAGAACATGACTAGAGTCAAAATACTAAGCCTAAAAAAAGTAAGTATAGAATTTTTTTTAGATAATTTGGTATGTTATTAATAAAGATTATATATATAAAAATAAAATATTTACTAATTATATACTATCTACACATCGGTAACTATATACTAACTACATGTTATTTTCCAAATTGCATTGTCAAATAACATATTATTTTTTTGTACAAAAGAAATGAATATATATATATATATATATATGTGTGTGTGTGTGCGTGTGTGTAAAAAGTTGGGGCCTATTACCTTAAAAAACACTTCTTACAAAATCTAGACTAAAGTAATCAAACAATGGCTCAAAGTAGTTTTCAAAGAGCATATTTACCTTGACCAAATTGCCTTTTTATATTTGAGGTTTATTTTAGATAATATATTAATAACCTATGAGGCTATAAATTGGACCAAAACCTTGAAATAATCCCTCTTCCTATTAAAAATCAATAATTCTTAAGTCTATAATAAGGTCAATTGGGATTTTATGTTTAAAGCATTAGAATCTCTTGCCTTTTATGCCTTTTTTTCATATGATTCAAATTAGTCTCTAAAGAGCTCGAATAGCAGTAGATATTAATGAAAGTTTTACAAACTATTTAAAAATAGAAAGAGGCATTAAACAATGATATTCTTTAGCGTCTTATTTCTTCATCGTAGTTAGTAAAATTCTTAATATTGCTATCCAATATGCTATTTAATACCACCTACTACAAGATATGTCTATTCTTTGGGATTCTTATCAATAAGTCATAAGCAAATACATTAATGATTCTACAATCACAATCCATAGAGATGTAGAAAATGTTCTATATTTAGTAAATATTATCAAATAGTTTAGTTTCGTTTTTGGCTTAGAAATCAATTGGTCCAAATTTAAAATCTATTAGCAATCTAAAAATACAACAAGATTGGCTTGATCAAATCAATTTGAATAGGCATGGTCTTCCAACATTGGCATAATTAACAACCAATTTACTACTTGTAATGTTTTTTTCATTTAAACAGCAAATTGTATATCTTTCAAATATATCTATATATATATATATATATAGATATATATAGTTTTTTTGTTGTATAACATGTTGCTCAAATTCTATCAATTTTTACATTAATGTCATGTTTTTACTTGTATCAAGCACTCTGAAATAACCTTGCTTATTGTTGTATCACAATTGTTTTCAACATGCATGTACTATCAAATAATATATATTTTTTAAAAAAATCGTTTAACTATACTAAATAAGGAAAAGATAAATTTTAAAATTTTAAACTATCTACAAAAAATAATTTTATGAGATTTTTGAAAGTAACAACAAAAAATCCAATACATCTATGTTCCATAACTATAAAGCGCTAAAATTTTATAATTTACATTAAATACACACATGATGAATTGTAATAAATATATTGATGTAAAGACTTCAACTTAAACATATAATTATTGCATTTTAAGGAAATTCTATATGTTAATCTTTTCTTACATCTAGTCAGCTTAACGAAATAAATAAACGAAAACAGTAATTCTGAGTGCATTCGCAAGAAAAGTAATATACTCTACCTTCCTGTTTCATACGTATTTGTTGTAATAAATTTTGTAATGGAAAATCTGCTGCTCCTGTTGTTTTCGAGTTGTAATGGTCCAAGATGCTGCGTACTTTTCCCCGATCAAACTGTGGCATCTGGTATACTCCGTTTTGTGTCAAATATATGTGTATATAAATATGAAGTACTTACACAACCTTAGATGTGGTTCGAACAAGAATTTTTGACAAAAATAAGACCTCTGCGGAACTGTGTACCACAACACTCTCTGCACTTTCAGTACTCACATGCACATGAAGTAAGAACAGCAAGACGGAGAGTTAAACGAAGAGCCGCAAGCGAGTCATGGAAATCCATTAAGAAATCTTTGTTGATGAATGCGTTTGTGGTATCAAAAACCAAGAGGGCAAGAAGCAATATCTTGAAGTAAATATGGTACATGGGTGGCACAGCAATTAGCCGTCCATTTTCATTAACCTCGTCAAAAGACTAGACTATACAATGAAGAATGATCAGCAATTATGCAAAACTAGTCCAATCTGAAAGGGCACAAGCAAGTTTAGCCGAGTACATCTTCACCCAATATGCGTTCGTTCCTAGAGGAAATCTTTCATCGGGTCGTCATGGTGAACCTTCTTCATCCTGTAGGCTTCCATTTCCTCTTGTGTGACCTGATCCAGATCAGGATCGACAGTTAGCAGATATAGCAGAAATTCACATACCAAATTAAAAATCTCAATATATGTACTTACAGTTCATCCAACCATCACATACCTGAACACAAGTATACTCACAAGTTCAAGAGAAAAAGATTTCAACATAATGGAACACCGAACACACATAGTGGGTTAGAATTTACAAAACAATCAGCAAACAACTATTCAATAATATATAAGAGGGTGCAAATTCGTAGTAGATAGAATGTATGATACTATACTAGCGGAATACAAAAAGCAACAAAAAGATTTTTGAAGCAAAACTTACATCATTGCTATAAGTTACATTGTACTTGCGCTTCCTATCATCTTTTTCTTCGCGTAACCTCTCATCCTCCTGAACCAAAGACATGAGTTGTTAGTAGAAGCAACACAAATGTAATTTATTCCTAATTTAACCTACTTCATGCTTTCAATGCTTTCGTCCATACAGCAACGAGTTAAATACGAGTGTACAGCAGCCAATTCGCCACAACTACAACTGTCTCACATGTCATGCATTATCAATGCACATGAAGGACCCATGCATTTACCTTCTTCAAGGCTTCCTTCAGCTTCTTCTTATCAAGGACCAAATCATCAGGTACTTCTGAACCCCAACTAGCTAGATTCTTTTCCACATTTTCAGCAGGTTTCTCTTGGATTGCTTCCTTCCGTTCTATGTTAGCTCGCATCAGCTCAGCAGAAGCCTCAGCAGCCTCAATTCCAGCTTGTCCTGTGCAGTAACTGTTTCTAGTAAACTGTTTACAACACTTGTATCCCCATTGATGGTCTTTCCACCACGAACCCCACACAGTTGTGTGATTGTTGATGAAGACATCCTCCTCATACTTGCTCTTAGGCACAGCCTTCTCCTGTGATAGATATGATCATAAAACCAAGAGTCAAATTTAGCAACCTCTTAGGCATACATCCATACAATAGTCATAGATGCAATATTAAATCAACTAAAGCTAACGAAAAGAAGGATCTGATTATAGGTTGAAACTCAGCCAAACAAATAGCAATCATGAAGCACAAAGACGTAGAAATAACACTAAGGAATGAGTCACAAAGAAAACATCGAAACGCAGGAACCTAAAGATATGCAAAGATAGCTACAAAGGAAACTAAAGGAACCCGCATTCTACTAGTGTAATGTACGGCATCCTAACGAACCCATACATTGTGATGACTCAAAATATAAATGAGGAGCTGTGAAGATTAATAGCGTCTAAAATAATATCCTAGCAACCACAAGGTGAGAACTAAAGAGAAGCCTACCTGTCCCTTAATGATTCGGCCTGCCTGATCATATTCCACTTGCCTATCGGTTTGACCAAGCAGTAATTCCATGGGGGGTCTGTCCGCCGACGCTGCATCACCATACTTATTCATGATATCTTGCTTAGTCTGCGTCTTCAGTGTATCCTTCTTGACCTTGAAATCCCTGTATAACAGCTCTGCTTGTGAGGGTGCAGCCTGGAGATGAATGTCTTGGCCCTTCTCGAAAGCTTCCCAAGCGTGAATGTTGAGTTGCTTAAATTCATTCGATTGGCCGGAATTTCTATTATAATTGTCACCCTGTTTTCACATACAGACCAGTTTCTTGAATAAGATCCTTTGTACCCAGATGTGCAAGGTTGACTTTCAAAATAGAATAAGGCATAGCAATGCAGAAACTGCTCATTGAACCACAAAGACTTGAAGGAAAAAGGTTGCGACATGCTACAACAAATCCTAAAAGACGTCAACTGCAATATTTCTCTAATCAACACCAGTAAGACATTACTCTATTTTTATTTTTTATTTTTTTCCAATTGCACTTAGCACTAAAATGACACCACGCACATGCATACCTCATAGAACTTTTCGTTTGGATCGCTATCCGGAAGTGGGTCTTCACGCATGGATCGAGTTTTAGGGTCGTAGTACGCAGAGTTAACATCTAAATTGAGCAAATACTTTGCAGTATCTTCTCGAATTCGCAAGTTACTGCAAAGAACCACGATAGAGAATGTTAGAAGCACCGCAAACAATCTTTCACTAGTTCTCGTAGCCTCTGACAGCACAAGGTCATAATCACAGCAAAGAGCCAAAAACCAAGGTTCTTACTGAGTTACCATTTACCACACTCTGTGACAGATAATGAAATCGTTTAACTGAAACCAAGGCAGCACAACACTGCAATAGACAAACGGTCATCTGACACAACCAAAGCGATTGCTATTTTGACCCGTCACACTTACCGTACGGTTCCAGTGCTACCTCCTCCAGTTGTACGCACACGCTTCTCAACTTTAGCAAAGTCCATTTGCTGACTCTCATCAACCTTCGCTTCATCAACTTCTCCTCCGTCTTTATCCTCGTCTTCATCTTCATCATCATCACTGTCCTTGCCTTGGTCAGCTTCAGGATTGCTATTCTTCTGCTGAAGCCGCTTCAGCTGCTGCTCCTTCTGAAACTTGCGTCTAGCCTCATCCCGCATTTCGTAAGTATCAATCACTCGACTGTAGGTGGATGGATCGTAACCATTCCACCTGTCACGCTTACCATCATAATCCAACTCAAACATCTCGATCTTCTCATCTGGAGCAATGAATTTGTTGGTAAACTTTGCACCAATCTTGCGTGGTCGGTCCATACAAGTTTTCGACTCATGTGTCATGGCGCCACAGCTGCAAACCAGGTTTCACATTAGGTTGATGTGGAAACAAATACAGGAGACAAAACCAAAATGTCGAGGAAGCCAAAACCCTTGTAAGAAGCAACAATCCGTAAACGGTCAAAAGCCACCACCAGTAAACGAAATTTAATTGGACAAGGCATGGACATGTTCACAGGGACTTACTTGGTGCAAGCTCCTTTGCGGAACTTATCAGCCTGAAAGACCTTCTTACCGCGGTCGTACCAATCCTTGGTGTAGTTTGGATCCGATTTCCACTTCCTTTGATGTTTCAAACTCTACAAATAGATGCTCCGAATTCGTTAATTAATAACCCAAATGCTAACTAACAAATTCTTTAACCTAATTAAAACGGGATAGAAATTGCATATCAGTCATCGGGAAAGAGAACAAAAAGATGGTAACACTAAGGCCACTCATGCCCTCAAAAAACCTAAGAAGAAATTCGTGTAAAACAAAACAAATAAAAACAACGAGCAAACGACGCTTACCGGTCTCTCAGCATTGAGATACCAAGGCGCAGAGGACATATACTGCGGAATATGAGGGTTAATTTCCTTTCCATCCTCATCGAGCTCGGCAGGAGCAAGACCCGCTTTACGAGCCTCCTCCAACTCCAACTGCTTCCTATGATCCTCCCTGCTTTTGAAAGCGGCTGTCAACACAACATTGAGAACACTTAACACTGCAGCGCAACTGAATTCCACCATCGGACACACCACAAATCTCCAACCAACTTCTATCTCCACACAACACCAAAACTGAACCTAAAATTCCACTGAAACTCGTCAATTTGAAACGCACCTGATGCCGTCGCCATGGCTGCTGAAACCGGAGCACCTCTGCGTCCTCCGCCTACTCCTATTCTTCCTCCCTCCTCTGCTTCACCGAGATGAAAGAGAACTCGCTGCCAAACCAGAACCCTGACTCCGCGCGGCTAACTGTGTTCACATCCTTGGCCGCGAAGGAACCCCACAGCTTGAAGCTGGTTGATACCCCCAACGAAACCCCGGGTCAGCAAACACGCTGACTGTACCGGCCGGTGACTCTCAGTGTCGAATGGTTCCCTGGAACCTGGCTGACGTGGAGTTAGGGTTTCACTTTACTTTGACTGGCCCGAAGAGTTCAAGGTAAGTCGCTGAGATTGTAGATTTTACAGTCGATTTCTTGATTAGTTAATGCAGTTTAGTGTCTTTTTTTATTATATTAGTTTATCCTGAGCATATCCCTAACTTTTGATGAAACCTTTGAGGGTGATCACAATATAAACTCTAAAAAATTAGAGTGGCATCCCGAGTGGCATCACGGCCCCCGCGTGGCAAATCTCTGAGACTTTATATGTGCTTAACGGCACAAGCTGACACTGACACATAAAGTGATGGCGACGCTGAGGGAATGTGCGAGACACAACAACGAACTTGAAAGAAAAAGGACTCGTGAGAATGGGGAGGGATAGAGAGAGTATCCGTACAACAACGTTAATGAGCACTCGCCATCTAGCATCAACTGTAATTCTTCTGGCAATTCTCTATTTGTTTTATCTAAAACTTCTAGGTCTCTCCTATAGTTTCGCTGGTATCGCAACTATCTGTGCGTGCTGGTGCAATTACACGCAAGGTCGCAAGCTACGGATAATCGCCGACTGTAGATCTGGGGGGTGGTGGGAATCCAATGCTGCGATGCAATCGACCCAGATGCGGACTTGGTGAAAGATGGAGCGGCTCTGGAATGGTCGGTGCTTGGGAGTTATGGAGGACCGTTGGGTTCCGTGAGTAAGGCGGAGTTGGTACTCGGTGCAGCTCGGAATTTTAATCTTCATTTATGTTTTCTTTGTCGTGGAGGATTTGGTGGCGTTAGAGATCTTGCGGCGATGGAACCCGATGACATACGGGTGGTGATGACGAGAGCCAGTGAGCTGCATGCCAATATTTGTGACGCCATTGAAAGAGTGAACAAGTCGCGTCATTCAGGGAAGTGGCTACTGCACAGTTTTGGAGATGATGGCGAGGAGTACGACGACGAGGACGCAGAAGCGCGGGGTAATTCGCAAGAGGACGAGATGCGCAGCTTGAAAGGCATTCGAGAGGCGCTAGTAGCGTTGGAAACGCAGCTGAAGTCACTACAGGTGCCTACATGTCTCCTCTGTTTTTTTACATTATTCTCTTTTGCAATGTTTGTTTTCCAAGGGATTTGGTTTTGGCCGTAGAAAAAGAACTTAAATTCTACTTTGGGCTTACCCACAACTTAGTTGTGACAATCTAGGGTTGGTATGTTTCCAGTTCAGAGTTGGTATACGGAGTGGTTGGATTTCATTTTGAGAATTTCTTTTCATTGTGCTGCAACGTTTTGAGTTTCTGTAATCATTTGTCTGCATCTTCTCAGTGAATTTGTCGGAGCTGGAATGCCGTCCGAGATTCAGTGAGTCTTAGAAGTGGATTTGATGTCAGTTTTGCCGCCCCGGAGCTGTTTCTTTGCAGCCCTTCTTTCTCCTTTGTACTTAGGAGATTTTCGTAGTGCATGTCTGGCTCCTTGAAGCTCGATCATGCAACTGTTTTGTGGTATCGCATGTCGTTCTAGCAACATTTCGTTATTATCGTTTTGTCTGAAGATTGCCATTCAGAAATATAGTTGGAATTATCCTGCTTGGGAATCCTTCACTACAGAGTTTTTTCATTGAAAGAGGTTTTGAAGAGGGTTTCTAGTGTCCATCTGTTTAACCTTGTACCAGCAGGGGCTATTAGGTTTTCTATTGGATTGACACATTCGTGGTATATTAGCATTTTGCTGTTGAATTATAATTTGGAATTGGAATACGCTCAATTTCTGCCCAAATGACTGTCACGTATGCTGATGGTGATTTCTCCTCATTTGTCAATACTCAGTCTGTACAACAGCAACAGCGGATCCGGAAGGATGCAGTTCTTGCAAAGCTTGAAGAAAGCAGAAGAGTCTTGTTGCAACGATTGAAAGAGCACGATGGCCGGGAAATGCAGGTGGTTGAGGAAGCTATGACATTTGCAGGGGAACCAGTGAAAAAGACGGATGATCTTCCCCTGCCACCTTACCTAAATCCCATCTCCCCCTCCGTTTACAGCGAATCTCCTGTATTCCGATCAATGAAGGCAGAGAAACCCAATCTCTTCAAGCAACTGGATGACCGATTGTATTTAAATGACAGCCTCTTTCTTGTAGATGAAGCAGTATCTGATTCGGAAGCTGCAAAGGTTGAGAGAGGCTCTGAGATGCCCACTGATGTGGGCGGTGATTTGGCCATCGAAGGAGGTCCTGAAAAAGTCACTGCAAACGGCGCTGAGGTGCATATAGACGAAGAAACTAGTCCATCGTCTAGCGGATTCTCTAGGCTTTTCAGTGACATGTTCAGTTGTACAAGGAAAACGTTATTAGTGGTAGTATCTGCTGTAGCTTTTTTGTTGGTTTCCGAGCTCAACCTCAAATCCCCGAGTGGTAGAAAGTCTCAGAAACCGGGTGAAACAGAGCCCAAACCTCCCTCAATGTCACAGTGGCAAGAGCCCGCACAAACGCCACCGTCGAAGGTGGAACCAAGATCAGATCCTAAGGTAGAGCTCAGGCCAAAGCCGATGCCAATTTTTGAGTGTCCAGCAGCTTACAAGCGGATAGAAGACGATGGAATTGTCAAGTGCGTAGTTAAGGAGCGGGTGGAGCTTCCATTTCCTCGGGATATTAAGACTCCTGATGTTCTTCACGGTCGTGGTTGACACAAATCACATGTCCAAACGCATCCATCTCTAAGTTTCTTTCCATTATGTTGACTTAGCTAGTAACAACTGTAACATACCACTTCTAGTTATTACTGAAAACAACAGATCCTCAAGTGGCTTATCCATTTTCTTACCTGCATCGATGCTTGAATTGTTGAGTTCTGGAGAGTTTTTGTCTGATATGGACCAATTTTATTTGGTGGTTGTGACTAGACTCTTGTGGTGAGCCTCTAGTATCGTTGGCATGCATAAGGTCTGTTTATCATGTAGTGTAATTGCCCATATTGACGTGTCTTGCAGTTGCACAATACTTAGGCATTAGAATTGAAGTTGGCTGTGGAATTTACCATCTATAGTATATAACTGAGGTTAAAGGTGATGTGTTAAAAGTGGGGAGAGAAAGTGCTAGAATTTGCATAGAATTTACAGAAAATGCAGTTACATGAGATATCCTCAAATTTCTATGAAGGGGACGTTTCCTAAGTGGAAGTTCAAATTGGATTTATGTGAATTATTTTTATCTTCAACATCTCAATTTTTTCAAGTTCAATGCAATTGATTTTTCGTGTTTATTTTAAGAGAAAGCATTGTGAAAAGCTGCATTTATTGTGATTTTATTGACTTCACTACCTTTGGAATAAAGAATCGTAATTGTATTTGGAGAAATGCATTGTGAAACATAACATACTATAAGAAAGGGCAAAATATGCATTTGTCCAATAAGAATACTACTTCATCTCTTTATTTTTTAACTAAGTTTTTTTGTACTATATCAACATTATAATATAATAATAATAATAATAATAATAATAATAACAATAAATATCAAATTAAATATCTTTAGAAATATGATTAATATTTTTTAAAGATACTTATAAATTTTTTAAGCTATGATTTTTTTGGAAAAAGCATAATAATAATAATAATAATAATAATAATAATAATAATTACAACAATAATAATAATAAATACCAAATTCAATATCTTTAGAAATATGATTAATATTTTTTAAATACACTTATAAATTTTTTAAGCTATGAATTTTTTGAAAAAAAATATAATAATAATAATAATTATTATTTTTTAAATAAAAATAAAATGTATCGTAAATTTAATTTACATACAGCATCATATTTACTACCATAATATATTATATTAAAAATAATCCTTCTAAAAAAATCATATCTTTACAAATAGTTAAGAATTTAATATTGAATTTTTGAAAACTTAATACCTAAGTATGATGGATATATTATACATGAGACCAAACAAGAAATTGAATAGAAGAGTTTCAACAAAAAAACTAATAAGAACTTCATTAAACTAGATGAGTACAAGATGAACATCACAAGAAGTGAACTAAAACTCTAAGAGATATATTATTAAGATTGAGGATCCTCTCAATCTTGACTCTAATATATACTAGATATTAAGAAGCTTTCTAAAAAGTTCTCATGTTGCTTAAAGATGAAGCAATCTTAAGAAGCTTCTCGAGAAGTTCTCATGTTACTTAAAGTTGAAACATTCTTAGGAAGCTTCTTTGATTCTTTTCAGAAATTTTAAAAATCTAATAGGATATTCTAAAAATCTTTTAAAACCTTTTAAAATATTCTAAGAATCTTTTTAAAATCTTTTATTAGAATATTTTAAGAATCTTTTAGAACCTAATAGAATATTTTTAAAATCTTCTTGTTAGATGTTCATAACATTACATCTCTTTTTAATTCCAAGTTCCATAAAGAGCATTGGTTCTATATGTGCTTTCTTTGTTATATACAATATCTTAATAGTAGCTTTACAGAGAAGTCATTCTAAAATAGGTATAGATTTTTGAGAGTAGTATTGATGAATGTAACAGGGTATAGATAATATATTTGTGTAAGGATAGATAATTAGAACCATAGAAGTTTTTAGAATTGGAGTTAGGTTAGTGGATCAAATAAGATCCACTATGGAATATTTTAGAAAGAGTTTAGGATAGTTATTTATGTAGGGCCTACTATAGAATCTTCTAGAAGGAGTTTAAGGTGGTTCTCTAAGTGGAATCTACCCACTTAAGAACATTTTAGAAAGTCTAGGATGGTAGAACAAAGTATAAATAAGACTAGCCAGGGTCTTTTGGAGCATCTGGTTAGGTATTGCTTTGAACCTTTTTTCTTAATATGATTGGATTTTGTATCTTCTTATTTTTTTCTATTTTGTCTTAATTTTGGTTGCTCAATTTTGTCTTTTGTGTCCCATTTTGTTTAATTTTGTTTAATTTTGTTTAATTTTATTCTAGTTTAGTATGTCCTAATTTGTGATGAAGTTTTATATTGCTATGGATTAGAAGGGTCTTTGACACTTGAGATAGACCTGTCCTATTCCATTGATATAAGAACGAGTGTTAAACTATTTACTTTTGGTAGTGTATCAATAGTCATCATCTAATCTAACGTTAGTTGTTGTAGTCACACTAGGCACTGTGTTGAGGCTATCACAAGCTATTTTTAAAAAATCAATCGAGAAGTGAGAAGGCATTATAATAATAGAGTCTAATAAAAAAATTACAGCATGAGAGATATGGTAGAATAATTCTAGATGGAAGCTCAAATATAACACCTCTTAGGCCAAATAGCTACTTTGTAAGGACAAATAGAAGCCTTGAGGATAAGAAAGTTGATATCTACAAGGCTAAAATTGAATAAGCCTAGTACATACTATAGGACTTTAAGACAAGAAGATGTATGTCAATGATTCTTCAACATGCAATAATACCTTCAACTATCTCAAGCAAATACCATTGAAGGAATTATATATACAACTAGTTATTTGAGAGATGCGGCAACCATTTGGTAGTGACATCAAGTTTAAAGCTATGGAGCTCAAGGTGGATTTTGTGGTTAGAAGAAATTTGAGACTAAGTTTAAGAATCAATTTTGGCCCATCAATGTAGAAAAGATAGCATGCAATCAATTGACAAATCTTATTCAATCTAAGTCGGTACAAGATTATGTCTCCTGATTCAAGTTCATATGTTTTCAAATTGATAATGTTTTAAAGGCGGAGATGATGGATTGATTCCTATAAGGTTTGAAACCTAGGGTCTAACGAGAGGTGGACCTAAGGGATCAACAAACATTCAAAGACGCAATTCTGATTGCATAGAGTGTTGATGTTATAGATTTCAAAAATAGTAGAGCAAGACTTCTAATATGAAGCCCTATACTGCTATCAAATACAATGGCACAACAACCAATACTAATAGAGATTGATGCCCTCTAAAGATCATTGACACTACAAAGACAATAAATATTGGTACAAAAAGAATTGTATTTTTGTTATCGAGAAGTAGGCCATCAAATTGGAGGTTGTCCAAAATGTCAAAATTGAAGCACCAACAAGACAAAGCATGTTCACAATCTCAAAATTCACCAAATTGATAATAAAACAAAGTAGAAAAATAAGAATCTCTAATAAAGATGCCAAAGGCTACTATTGGAAATAGCTACTATCTCTTAGAGACAAATAGCATGGCCTTAGAAAACTATAAAAAGAGTTGACTGGTACATCTAATAAGACTACTGAGAAGACAACCATGTTGAGTGTTTGTAGATTATGGCTCTACAAAAAATTGCATCTCAATTGAAATTGTCGACCGGTTTAAAATTAAAACTAAGGCAATTAAAAGAAGAAGTATATACCTTGCAAATGACCAAGAGAACATATTGACTGAGAATGTGAAGTAGAAATCTTGAGGTTGAGTGACATCTATGTCTTAAGAGAGAGGTTCAAGGTGACAAAGCTAAGATATGATATTATCCCTAGTATGCTATAGCTAGATATGGAAAATAAGTAAGTTGATTGGATAGCAAAGACAATCTCCTTTAAAGATGGTAGATGCAATGTGACTCTTTACACCTTCTTATCAAATGAAGAAGAAAGACAATCTGCAACCAAAGATTTACTCATCAAAACAACTTTTATAAAGAAAAAAATACAACATAAATAATAGATACATATGGTGGTTTCAAATCTTGCATCAGTTGTAGGAAAGATAATCAAAGAAATAAAATAGGCAGATCAATTCATATGAGAATATCAAAATGTCTTTCCAACCAACCTACTTAGTGGCGTGCCTCTTGAACAAGGTGCCTCCTATCAAATAAAACTATTATCTCAAGCCAAACCAATAAGTCGAAAAATTTATCACGTAGCACTAAAAGAACTTGAAGAGCTGTAGAAGATATTGGACGAATTTTTGGAGAAAGGCCTCATTGAGGAAAGCACATCACTATGGAAAGTACTTATACTCTTAGCACCCAAGAAGGATAGTAGACTTTGCCTTTGCATCAACTATCAAAGCTTCAATAAGCAAACTGTTAAGAAACCTATTGGAGAAAGATGTCTCATTTGAATGAAAATTAGAGCAACAAAATACCTTTGATAAGTTGAAGGAGGCACTCATTACTACTCTAATATTACAATCGTATAATCCTAACCTTCTTTGTACGCTTGACATTGATGCTTTCGACTTTACTATTGGAGTAGTCCTTCAACAAGACTTTCATAGGAGCCTTCAATCTGTGGCATATAAATCATGCAAGTTCAAAAGCACAAAGCTCAATTACTCTACACGTAATCAAGAGCAATTAGTGATTGTATACGCCATAAAAATGTGGTAACACTATCTATTAGAGAAGCCAGTGATTATTTGGACTAACTATTGATACTTACTACATGATTTGTATCTAAAAATATAAAATCACAACATCATCATTGAGAAGAATAGTTGTAGCATTTTGATATCCAACTTGAGTACAAACAAGGGCAACAATATATTGTGTCAAATAGCTTATTGCAGAGACTAAACTTCAATGGAAAATCAAGAGACAAGGCAAAAGTTACTACCATTAGTAGTGTTATTTCAAATTTAACCAAAAAGATAAAATGAAAAGAAGCTATGCATCAGGATGCTTATTTTAAAATGATTAGCAATCGATTGAAGGTAAGCAATATATAATATCAAGTTTATACTCTTAATGATGGCTTATTCTATTTGAAGAAGTAGATTTATATACTCAACAATGATATACTTCACATGCACATACTTTAAGAGAGATATGACATCTTAATATATAGACATTTGGAA